TCTCCAACACTCATACATGATCACTTCTTTTAAACTGATTTAAAATTGTACAGAACAAAATAACTAAACAGAACCAAATTACAGATGTTAAAGTGTTTATTTGAGGAACATTGAAAAAATAATATTAACATTCAATACTGTACATTTGTTTAATTGATAATATATAGCAAAGGAGATTATTTAAACTGTACAGAATAAATGTGAACTTGCATTAGACAGGGAAGTGGGGGGAAGAGCTCTTTGCTTCTTGTGTCATACTGGTAAGCTAGTAAAAATGCTCAATTAAACATCTCTATGAAAAGACAAATCACATACAAAAATACCAAAATAACAACTAAAGGTTACAAAAATACTGCTTTCTTTCTGTACTGGTCTGGCTGGGATGGAGCCCGTATGACGCTTCACTTTGGATTTGTGGCTAGAACAGTGCTGATAACACACCAGTGCTTTGGTTTTTATTGAGCATTGCTTGCACAGCACCAAGGTTTTGTTTTTCCCCACTCTGCCCACTCCTGCAAGTGGGCCAAGGGTGGGCAAGAAGCTGGGAGGGGACACCACTGGCCAGAATGGACCAAGTGATATTCCAGGCCATACAGCATCATGCTCAGCAACAAAAACTGAAGGGAGAGGGGACAGAGCTGGAATGTGGCAGTACCCTCCTTTCTTCTACTTACTAAACCATTGTTACCTCAAGCCAAGAGTTCACTCTGCTGCTCCCATTCTCTACCTCATCCCACTGCAGGGAGGGCGTGAGCCAGCAGGGTGGTGTTTAGCTGCTGGCCAGGGTGAACCCTGGTAAATTGCAAAATCTTAGCAACTTTTTTGGCTTTTTTTTTTTTTGTGTTAATTATACATTAAGCTTACAGGAGACTGCATTCACACAGGCTGTTATTTCTTGTTAAATTTAGGCACATGACTATGCTTCAAGAATGACCGTCTTCCAACTTTGCTAACTACAGTAATTCTTTTCACATCAGTGATATATCCAAAGTACACATGAAAATTTCTATGACTGAGCTGAATTACTCAAAGGTAAACATGCTCCTTTCTCTCAACCCTTAGGCATCAAACTCTTGAATAACTTTTTCTAAAGGGAAAAAATTCTCACATTGTGGTACCACTTATGAATGTGCCCAGTGTATTTTCTCATCAACATTAACATTAGCTGTCTCTGCTGTGTGAGGATGTGCTTCCATGTTGCTTTTTATTTTTATTTAAAAGATACAGTAGGGAAAAATATTTAGGAACATGGGAGCAACTGTATAAGTGGTGGTTAAGACTGAATTCAAACACTCAGTTGTGACTATTAGCCATCTATGTCAAGTAGCAAAACATAACTTTAAGAGGAGTATAGATAGTTCTTCACACTTAAATGCCACTGTAGAAATCAGCAAACATTCAAACAAAAAGCATGTATTAAAAAAAGTAGCTCTATCTAGGTAGAAGACAGAAATATTTATTTCATGAAGTCTTTATCCACTCCTATTTTTACAACCAGCAGAGAAAGTACTATGAAAAAAAAAAAGACAAATGAAAACATACTGTCTTTCCATATTCTGGAGTTGGAGTTGCAGCTATAGTGGAAGGTGCTCAGCTTTATTCATTCTCAAATCTGCTGTAGGGATGATCAGAATCCTGGAGAAGACCTGTGAAACAAAACAGGGCTGCATTTATCTTTTTCTTACCAGTATTGCAAAAAATTTATGTTAAGGACCTCATGGTAACAGGTGCTCTATATTGCAAAACTAAAAGACAATTCTTGTCTTGCAATAGTTGCTCTATTACCTAAATACTCCAAAGTATAATACCTTGAAAGTGCTAGCACTCCTTATTTCTTATTAGTCTTACTTCTCAGACTATTACCATGTATAGTTCAATATTTAGTAGGGAGAGAACATGTCTCTCTGAAAAATTCTTACAGAAAAACATTTTTTACATATACCCTATAAAAAGCATTTGTGAGAGTCAAGTCTGCACAAATCTATAAAGGTGGCTCAGAAACAATGGATTCAGACTGGCCAGTTTATTAATCCAAGTTATTATAAGATCATCATCCTTAAAAAATGTAAGATGCTGCTACTTTCACTTAGTTCTACTTCAGTTAGATACAACCATATATCACATTCAGCCACTTGCAGTATTTCTGCAACAGGACAATAACTAAAGAACAAATGAAGATCACTTCCATATGCACTAAAACCTCTCGGGACCAGAATAAGAGCATCACTTAATCCAGGTTGCAGCGTGTTTCCATCATGAAGTTTCCTAATTATTTTTTCAGAATACTGTCACAGCATTGCAAAGCCATCCAATTATACTGAGTGTCTGGATATGTATACCAGCTTCTGTAAAGGTTAGTTGAGCAATCGCTGTTCCATGCAGCAATTATTTCAAAAAGACTTTAAACCACACACCAGATCTGGGTTATGCAGACGTGCATGCTGAAAATAAAGGAGTCCCATAAGAGTCCAGAGGCTGACTAATTGTGAAAGAAAAGGAATGCTGCCCTATTTTTACTAAGATTTTTGTAATAATGTCTGGCAAGCCTGGACTCTTCTCTAGTGCATTTGTTTAGGGCATGGAGAGAAACGACAGCTAAGCCAAACAACTCCAATTCACAAATGTTCAAATTCACAATAGTAGAAGAGAAAGATGAAAATATTGTGAGAACTCCCCCCACTCCTTTTCATACCATTCGTCTTTTCCACATGCACCTGCACACAGATACTGAACATTCATTGTTCTATCTGAAAGTTAAAAGCTCATGAAACTGAAGGCAAACTATAATTGTGTCTACCTTGTCACAGTTGTTGCACTCTTTTTGAACTGCCAGGTTATTTTAAGATGTCAGTCAAGAAGCACAACTGTTCGAATCTGATTATTGTATCAGTAACTGCAACTAACTACCTGACAGAGAAGAGCAAATATTTAGGAATAACTATGAAAAAATAAAATAATTACTCAAATTAACAAGATGACAAGCAATTTGTAAAAAGTTAAAATCAAAATCAGCCCTCACACCTAATGGCCCTTACTTGTCAAAGAATGGATAAGCCAGTCTTATTTTCAAAGCTTCAGCCAAGTAACATGAAACAGTCTATTTACCTAGTATAGTACCTTTGTATCAAAGGTACTATCCCTTTCTGTAATTGCTTTAAAAAAACTTCATATTTTCAGCTTTTGTGCAGAAAGAATATAGTTAGGTGACAGCATCGTTGAGAATTAACTACAATATTTTGAGATCTTGAAACTTTGCATTTTTAATCTTGTAAGAACACAGTTACTTCTCAAATTCTAATCTTACCTGTCATGCATTAAACCAAAAAGTTGCAGTTTCTGTTGACACCCATTTCTGTTTGTACCCTCGTTAGCCCTTAATAAACTGCCATTGAGGTGATTTTAAGGAGCTACATCTGTGGGAACTCCCATTATAGTATGTCTGGCCCCAAGCCATGTAAAACTTGGTCCAGTTGCTTTGCTAACTCTTGCAGGAGGCCGCCCAAAGTGAGTAAAGCTGGTGTCGGAACCTGACTTACACCACCATGATTTCCTGGATCATGACAGAGAAGAAAATAAAATGTTACCTGCCCTTTTTCACAAAACACTGAGCCAAAAGCCATTTCAGATAACTAGTCCTTATATTTCAAGTGTCATTTTTACTTGTTACTGCAAATGCCATTCCCAGTTATTTTACTGAATTATCATGTTCAGCAATGAACAGATATAATTGTGATCAATCAGGATTTATTTTGTTATACAGTACTAGAACTAAACAGGCCTTAGGAACAATGGGTCAATCCAGTGTATTATTGGTCATGACTACAGAAATTCATCTCCTGGGAAAGAAGGTACTCCAAGAGAAATGGCAAGCCCTCCTTCCAAATGAGGATAACTGCAGAGGTTACAACATCTGATAGACCTTGCTCTCAAATCTGCACCAGTGCTTAAATATGTTTTCTCCTCAGTGTTCTAAGAACATCATGAGATTACATTTAAGTGAGAAGTGAGAGCAGCAACTCATCCTTTGCACCAGTTCTTAAAGAAGTTGTATCAGGCTCCAAAAGGTGGGCAAAGATCAATCTAGAGACATACAAAAAAAAGGAGCATGACAAAAAGCTTCTGTCAGCTGCCACAGCTGCTCTTAGTCATGACACTCAAAGAGGAGCTGCAAGCCTATGCTAATAGCATAGCATGTCTGGTTTAAGGCAGCACATGAGCTTTAGCTGAACCAAATGCAAGTTGTCTCTCTTGACTGTTTCCTGTTTGACATGAGAGCAGCTACCCAACCTGTAATTCACACTCAGAGGTTCAGAGAAGCTAGATGTTTGCAGCTTCAGGAGTCTTCTTTGCAATCAAATCCATTACATATTATGGCTGAACTTGAATATCGACACACAGGATACATACAGGACTTCTAACATTTTACTCCTATTTACCCTCATTTTAAGGCTAATATTTGACTTACTTAATAGTATTTAAGAAACACTCAAACATTTAAAGGTAGTCAAATATATTTAACTAGCTTTTATGAAGTAGTGAGGTCTCCAAATATGTATGAAATGACAAAGCAATTGTAAGTAATTAATACCTCTTCCCAACATATTAATTTATACAATATACTGTGCAGCTTCTCAGTTGAGATCTGACTTATCACATATCAGCACTGCCCAAAAATAGAATTAACAAGTGGAACACTTACAAGAGACTGTATATGCTGCAAAATATGAACTAGTTTGCTGTGTGTCTTCACCCCTTATTACACTTTTCCTTTTTATTTTTAACCCTCAGGTTAACAGCTCTATTCTCAACAAACAAATTAGCTTTGTGTATAGCAGTACAAAGTTTCCCTGCTTTGCATTCAGAACACCAAAGAAGGTCAAGACAAAGTATCTATTTTGAACAGAAGGAACATGTACTGTGAGAAACTACTGAACAGAAAAATCAACATATCACATAAAATAGATAGTATTACGTGCAATTAAATTAGCTGATTAAAACCTTTACAGAACTGGAGCAAGTGGTGTAGATGCCCAAAATCCTGAAAGGCAATAATTTTTAAAAAAATAGGAAAAAGAATTCTTCTGAATACCAGGCAAAATCCTGAAATAAGTACAAAATAAAGCAGCTTCTCACTAATGCTATACTGAATGTACAATAGCAGCAAATACAGCAGCAATTAAATTGTATTTCTTTTGTATACTACACAAGCTGCAGAGTATTCTGAACTGAACTTTAAAATTTTCTAAGAGACAACATATAATTAGTGTAATCATATTGCATTCATTTATGTGAGCAAATGAAAAATAGTATCAAATTGTGCAACAAAGAAACAATTCAAAGTGCGTATTCCTGGTTGCTAAAGCTCTCTATAGCTTCCAATGCTCCCAAAGGACTGTGGCTAGAGTGACACCTGCAATGCATTATAAATGTGTAATTACCATTTAAATGGGGTAAGGAAAGCTGGTCGATGAAATTGGAAAAGGCATTCCCTTAAAGCCAACCAAAAACTGAATTTCCAGGCATGATCATCTTAATCTACAGTCAGGTTAACAAAGTCATTGCCATTCTGCCACTCACCCATGCCTACTTAACTGAGAATCCTCTCTGCAGTGTGTAAAATAACCTAGTGTCTCCATAATTATTTGCAGCAATTTTTATTAGATTTATGTTTAATATGCTAACATATGTATTTACCACACAGTGAAAAACAAAGAAGATTCAAGACTATAGCAATATTTATTCTATTATGTCTTGCTGAATTATTTTGACAATCATTTGTCTGCACGTTGTCGAATATGAACTATATGCATCAGCAATCATATACAGGCATTTCAGAATTCATATGTATTTTGTCTTTCATTTTTCCTTAGTTACACATACATCCTTTCAGGATGATCCTGTGCCAACTATTCATGTAAGAGTTAGATTTTTCTTTGGGACAAAAATCAACTATGATAATCCTTAAATAGACAATTTAAATTAGTATCTGCATATGTAATACAGCAAATCTCTCAATAAATCAACTTTATATAGAAGTTTGCTATTGAAATTTAAGTTTCCTAGATTTCATCTTTTACAGGTATACTGCATTGCAAAGCAAAACTGTATGAAGAAGTGAATATGCCTGACTCCCTTTAAGAAGGTGCACCTTCCATAAACACAATGAATTTATGATCTTGTTTCTAATTAAGTCATTAATAGACCAACATGCTTCAAGTGGAGGCAAAATTACACTAGATCTCATACAACTGTGTGCACAGTATAGCTACATACAAGATTTGTTGAATTTGGTGTATGTAATCCAGAGGCACTGAATTATACAGCTGAAGATGGAAAAAAAGCATTATGTGAAAGTCTGAAAGTACTGGAAACAGAGACATGTGTCTTCACTAAAAAACAGGGCCATCCAGAGACAAGTGAGCTACTTTCACAAGCAGAATATAACTGAATGCAGCTTTTTGAAACACCACTTCACCTCGAAGCAGTACTTTGACACACTCACTGTTATTACTCAGGACCTTCTTCACTCCTCTTGGCTGCACTGCCTCAAGGATATGCAAAGTTACAGGTATATCTGTACTGAGTGCTGCATGTTATTCTGGAGACACAGCCACTGATCTTAAATCCTTTGCTAGATCGACCCCAATGATCCAAACTTGTTGAGATTGACTCTGGAGTCTTTTCTGAGGAGAAACAAACATTAGAAGTGTGTTTTATGATGCTGCTTGGATTTTGTTAAATCTGGACTATTGTTGTCAACCACTTAAACAAACCTCTTGAAAATGAATTATGATTGGGATACAGGGTCAATTATCCTATAAAATACCACAGGACTGAAGTTCATGACTGATGTATAACAGAAATTACTTCTTGTTTCTACAACATTCTTCTTCCTGCAACCTAAGCTTCACAGTGAATTTTTCCTTTCCAGCAAAGGAGCATACTTTTGCTAATGTTCCCCAGGCAGAGAATTCCCTACAGAGTTGTATCACTTCTGCATCAGCCAAAGGGCAGGTTGCAGATTCATAAAGGCATTCCCAGACTCTGCCAATCAGTTTAACACGAGAATGAAAATTGAGTTTTGAGTGATTGTTCAGACACCTAGAATCACCTTCTCTGACATTAGTGCAATTTGCATAATAAAAAGCGCAGCATAGTTTTAGCATATCTGTCTCTGAATACACAGTACTATTAACCCTATGAATAAATCAAATGAAAAGCGGAAGCACTGACAAGCCTAGATAATAAGATCCTTCTACACAACACAGCAGGTCCTACAGTCTTGCAACACTCATCTCTTAATGGACCACAGCTCCACTTAAAAACAAACAAACAAACCCTTAAACTCTGCCTTAGACTGCATTCTCCATATTCTTTTTAAGTTTGATTTAAAAAGCTTGCTATCTACTAGTCAGTCTGGGCTCCTTTAGTAACCATGAGTCTACTAGCTGTTTTCAACTAGATTGGTTTATCACTTTGGAGAAACAACAAACCAACCCCAAAATCAGTACTCTTACTCAGGGAGAGACAATATAGTTAAATGCCCACCCCAAGCACACACTCCATCCCGCACATTGTCTCTTGCCCAGAGGAAGAGTCAGTGCAGGAAGAGAACAGGAGCATCATAGTGATGTGATCAGGTGTAACAGAAGACATGCATCAGTAGGCAACTGGGCTTGATTAGTTCTGCTGCTCTTAAACCAGTTTGTTTCTGCTATGAATTTTAATAATAATTATGAAGAACTAATCCATTTAGATACTGAGTGTCAAACTAAGATTATCACATACCATATTTCTTGCGTATTTCATCATGCTTCAGTTTTCTTTCATGTTTCCTACAACAAAGACAGAAGAACATTCAGACTGTTTCGATCTGTAAGCAGTTTAATAACTACATCTGAAAGGTAACAGCATTTTTAAATTTAAATTTTAAATTTAAATTACAAATTTCAAAAACAACAAAATCAAATCACATATCAATTTTGTCTTTTCTTTCTATATACACTTTATCTATCTGTAAGAGTCTCTATAACTTCTCACTAATAACGTCTAAGTAAAATACACTTGCAATCATAAAATACTTTTGTCTATATAGAAGCAATGCACCCACATACATGTACACATACACACACAGAGGTATTCATCTACACACAAGAAGCAAGGCACAATATTGGAAGATTCCATAATGCTTTCTAGCAGGGAGGATAACTGTAAAACTTAGCTGTGAAAACAGTGTGCTTCAGAATCCTAATTCGATATAATAATTTTAAAAGGATAAAATGTGCCTTAGTGTTTTGTTTAAGCAATAGAACAAATATAAGTGAAAACTACTTTTTTCTAAAATCCAGCATGGCACCCATGCAGAGCATAAATTGCTACTGTGCTATCAAAAAACTGGATGCCTCTAGTTGTGCTGTCTAACCACAAGACAGTTTTAAAGATAGTATCTAATATTGACAAACTTTTAATTTTTCACCTAAACCAATTGACAAGTCAATTACTTTTTCCTCACCTTTGCCAAAGGGGGAAAAAATTAAGGAATTTTAAATTGAAATCATCCTATCATTCCTCAATAATTTTCCTATATTTCAAAGGAATCACCTGTTTTGCTTAGTTTAAAAACTAAAAACAAAGCTCCCACAACTGTTTATCCTAATTCGATATAATAATTTTAAAAGGATAAAATGTGCCTTAGTGTTTTGTTTAAGCAATAGAACAAATATAAGTGAAAACTACTTTTTTCTAAAATCCAGCATGGCACCCATGCAGAGCATAAATTGCTACTGTGCTATCAAAAAACTGGATGCCTCTAGTTGTGCTGTCTAACCACAAGACAGTTTTAAAGATAGTATCTAATATTGACAAACTTTTAATTTTTCACCTAAACCAATTGACAAGTCAATTACTTTTTCCTCACCTTTGCCAAAGGGGGAAAAAATTAAGGAATTTTAAATTGAAATCATCCTATCATTCCTCAATAATTTTCCTATATTTCAAAGGAATCACCTGTTTTGCTTAGTTTAAAAACTAAAAACAAAGCTCCCACAACTGTTTCACTAGGATGATCCAGGATTTATATTTTTTTTTTTGACTAAAGGTGCTGAATTTGGCACAACCATGTTCCTCTAACATTGAAAAAATTCACTGTTTGTTGCCCTTATGAAAATTCAACCCAGTTAGGCAAGTTGTGACTTTCTCCTGATTCTAATTTGCACATATTCAGCAGAAAGCTGTTAAGCACTGACAGCTCAATTCACCAAAGATCCCATCTGCCCTATGCATATTCCACCTCCATACAACTCCTACTGCTAATCAGGTCCTGTGTATCCTCAGAAGCAATTATCCTGCTTCCTACAGAGCTGAAGGGCTGAACTGGCCTTTCCCTGCAACTACACTTCTGGAGAGCATGAACATAAATCACAATGAGAAAATCCAACAAGACAAACTGTCTGAAAATCTTCTGCTACTATTTCCGCGAGATACCCTTATCTCCCTTTCCACTGTTAAGCCCACGTAGCACAGAAAACAAAGAACCTGGCCAAACCACAGAACAGGCTCTCCTGAGGGGAACCAGGGTGATGAAATTAAATTCATGTAGAGGAGCAAAGTCTGGAATGAGAGAAAGGTAACAGGAAGGAGTCAAGTTTACCTACTGAGGGTTAGCTGACCTCAAAATTCCTGCTTTCTGTGTTGCATAGGAGGAAGACATTATATGAGGCTAGAAAGAAAACAGAGATCCTGCTTAGAGCAGCCTTCTCCTGTATGAAGCCACTCATTTTTGTCCAGTTTTCATGTGAGATTGTGACCTCAATGCAGGATTTTTACTGTTGGCACTAATGGCATGTTTCCTGCTGTTTTGCAAACCTTGTCTGAAATAATGGAGACTCACCACTGCACTTTCCACCAAAATCCCAGTACTTCAGTAGTTTGAATCTGCCCTGAACACAGAAAGCACTAAGCATCTGTGTCAGAAGGGTAAGAAAAGGGTGGGTGGTGAAAAAAGAAACAAAACAGGCTACATAAGTTTTAAACCTCAGAAACCGTTTAGGATACTTCCCTAGGATATTCAAAACAAACCAAACATCTAAAAATTATTACATTAAGTTTGACAGGTAAAATAAGCAATATTTTTTTAAACATTCAAATTATGGCAGTCATGACTATAACATATCACTCATGACCAAATACGTGTACAGTAAATAAAGCTTAGGTATACAACAACTGAGAGGAATCTGTCAATTCTGAGGAGGCAGTCACTGAACCAGCCACCCAGAAGTGGCTTACTGCACTGTTCACATCTTACATTATAGAATGGCTTGGGTTGGAAGCGACCTTGAAGATCATCTAGCTCCAACCCATCGGCCGCAGTCAGGGACACCTCCTACTAAACCAGGCTGCTCAAAGCCCCATCCAACCTGGCCTTCAGCATTTACAGGGAGGGGGCATCCATGACCTCCCTGGATAACCTGTGCCAGTGTCTCACCAATCCTCACACTAAAGAATTTCTTCCTGAGGTCTAACCTGCATCTACTCTCTTCCTGCTTGAAACCATTACCCTTCATCCTCTCCCTACAAGCCCTTGTAAAAAGTCCCCCCCCAAGCTTTCTTGTAGGGCCCCTTCAGGTACTGGAAGGCCGCTATAAGGTCTCCCTGGAGCCTTCTCCTCTCCAAGCTGAACAACCCCAACTCTCTCAGCCTGTCTTCCCAGGGGAGGTGCTTCAGCCCTCTGATCGTTTTTGTTGCCCTTCCCTAGCCTTGCTTCAAGAGCTCTACGTCCATCCTGTATTGGGGGCTCCAGAACTGGACACAGTACTCCAGGTGGCATCTCACAAGAGCAGAGTAGAGGGGGAGAATCACCTCCCTTGATCTGCTGGTCATGCTTCTTTTGATACAGCCCAGGATACAGTTGGCTTTCTGGGCAACTGAAATCACTTTACAGTCTTCCAAGTGGGTTCTGTTTCTTAATACCATTGCTATTATTTCATCTTCTGTATGCTTAATCCTTGGCTCTTCACACAAGTTGTCCCCACTGCTTTAAGCTGAGAAAGTGTTTTTCCTAATACTAACAATTCACATCATAATTTTCCATACTTGGTTCTTCATAAATTAACTACAATCCTCTCTTCCCCTGCCTCCCCTCCTTTTTCTCTCTTGCCAGCACAACACTAAATTATACTTGGCAGTTTATTTCATTCAAGATCTCAGTGCTTTTCATTAGTTTATCAACTTCTAACATATAAAACATAGTTTATAAATTACATAAATATAACATAAATGTATCATGTATTTCCAGCTGTAATTAATTACATGTACAGAAAAAGACTCACTACTTGATGCTATGTTTAAAAAATATTTTTCATGTTAGATATGACATGAAGTCAAAGAAAGGACTAATGCTACGCAATAAGATACTTGTGTTCTTTCAGTAATAGTCAAAAACTGAACTCCAGGTTTCCTTCTCCTCCTGCCCCTCACTGTAAGTGTAAACTCTACAGTAATTTTCAAACTTCTCAGTGAAGTGACAAGTAGCTTCATCCTCGTGAAGACAAACCAAGGGCCAATGTCATTACCCTGACTCTTAATTCTAACAGATATCCAGTTATTCCAAAAAGACACTTCCTACGTATCTGTAATAAACTGAATTTTAACGCAAACACATTTTAAAATTACAAAGCAGACTTTTACTGCATACCTGAAAAGCCAGAAAATACTAAGTGCTGCAATTATCTTGAAGCTTGCAAAAGTCACACTTTGCAACTTGAGCCTCCTTACTTTGTTATTACTCTTCACTAATGGCATTATTAAATAAAGCTCAAGCTAGTCCTGTTCTTCACTGCCAACTGATCTGAACAGCTGTATATGAAGTAGCTGTATCCCACAGAAAAAAACAACAACAAAGCAAGATGTCAGAAAAAAAGCACAGATACAAGGTCAATGCTGTGCCTATTTTCCTGCTATGCTATTAGTCTGAATATCTATGTAGCTATTTTCAGAAACTATGTGAAAACTTTGCAGGTTGTGGAAAGGAAAGACCACATGTTACGATACAGTGTTTTCCTCTGCAGTTTGCTACCAAAAAATGGCTTGTTGAGACTATTAATCTGTTCTACAGTCTGCTGCTAGCAATTCATCATCCTAAGGAACTAGAGGAAGCAAGTGGCAGGTAGGGTGAGGTGTTCTGGTTGCTGGAAGCAAGCTGCTCCTTGTGTTTTCCCATGATGCCCCAGTGACAGACACAACAGGTATGCAAGTTTAGAGAACAGCAAATACCCCAGGGCTGCTGCTAAGCTCACTCCTGCAATTCGAACAGTCCTGAGAAGTTAAAAGGGTTGCTGGTCTAAAGCTGCAGCAATCATTCTGGCAGTCGCTCCCAGCAATGCCTGTTCCTAGGCACAGCAGACCCTACACTCCAGAAGTATCAGACAGGTTAACTGTACCAAGAATTTAAAGCTGATACACAAACCACAGCAGAAAGGTTACGGTGCACAATCATCCCCTACGCAGGGCATGGTCATGGGCCTTCGCTTTACAATATGTATAGGTAAATATTATTTATCTGAACAATGTAGCATAATACAAGTGATATACATTTCACTATAACAAAGCATATGGTTTTGGCATTCAACAAGATTTTGATATTCCTCACAGGATCCCTTGTCCTCAGAAATGAATAAAGCATCACAAGAAAAACAACATGTTCATGTTAGGACTCTCCCTATTGTGCTCTGTCCAGCTGCAAGTGGATTAACAGGTAGAAAATTTACTTTTTTTCTGATCACTTCCAAGTCTTCAACATCATTTATCTGAGAAACTCTGTGATATAAAACATGAACATACTTCCTGAAATGGCTACCTATTTCTTATCCTTCTGTGCACATTCAAGTATGACGCTTTCAGCTCACAAATCAAGTTTATGAAAACAAATTTGCATCCACTCTGTTCTTAGGTAAGTTTGACACTACCTTCAATGGTGAAAGAGAAAGTACTTTCTACTCTGTCCCCAAGTAAACACTCTCTTTGCTTTCCTCCCATATAGATTCACACTGTCTTTGCATCCTATGGATCCCACCAATCTTACACAGAAGCTGAGACTGTTCACTGAATGCACTCAACAGAATAAAAACCTGGAAGTCCCCACAGAAATGTGAATAGCTTTCTGAAAGACAAATTTGGCACAGCATATAGCTAAGGAATGTTGTGTCTTGGGCATGAAAGGAAAGAACACTCTTTGCATCAGCAGCTCACAGTTACATCATAAGTAGCATGCCCTTACACACAAACTAAAGGGCTAAACTAGTGGTGTCATTACACTTAATATACACTTTCAAAACAGTAATTTTAGCTCAGCTACAGAAATATACATTTGAACAAACTGAGAACATTCACCGACCTGCCTTGTCATCTTATGCACATTTTTAATAGAGAAACAATGTCTTCATGCAAAAGTTCCACATGGGGTCTCAGTTGGAAGCATGCCTTGCTCCCTCTACAGCTTCTCCTCGTATTAACAACCCATCTAAGCTCACAACAAAAAGGGAGACGTGAGCAAGGCAGTGAAGGTGCCCACCTGTTAACTGGCAACCAAATATTTAGAGAGCATAACCAGGAAGTGACAAACCTAAGATCAACTTCCTTGGCATTCTGTGGGGATTCAAACTCACACCCAACAGCTCCAAGCCTAACATTAATTTGGTTATGACTCTTCTCGTCTTGCTGAAGCTCATCCATTTGCACCTCCAAAGCAAAGATCATTAAAGGAAGTTCTGATTCAAAAGGCACATCAGGCTTGTACCAGGTATTAAGGTCCTACCTAGAAAAATTGTTTATCTAAAGAATAATATGTAAACCATGAAGAGTCACTGGATAACTAAGTTTAAAACCTGCATCTGAAGGAATGCTGTTCTCACTGAGACTGCTGACTCTTGCACTTCTTTCTGCACTGTGCTACAGCTTTAATAAGAAGGATGGAGATACAGATTTAAGTCTGAAATGAGATCTGAGCCAAAGTTTTCCAATTCACGAGCAAAATTTCTAGTAGCTGTCTTGCTATCAACTCCTTTGCTTTCCCAGGCAGATTTTAAAAGAAAAATAAATACTTACCAAATGAATACAAAAACTGTATTTCACCTCTGAACCCCAGACTCACTTCGGCATTAATGCACACCACAGGCAGGCATCAGTCCAGGAGAGACAAGACTTCAAACACATCCCTCCTGTTTGCTGTTCACTGGCACAGAGCACTCCTAATACCTGCCACAGCGAGCATCACTCTGTTCACTTATGGAAATACAGGCTCCTAATCAGTTTGCAAATCTCACAATAAGCCCCATTTTGTAAAAACTTGACATTGTCATGTCTAACTCCACAATGCCTCCTTGTTTAGCACTCCATGTATTCCTTAGAGGGGCAGAAAACTCCTGTATCACCAGGAAGTGTATAGCTATATATCAAGCTGTCAAGACTTACCTCTGAAGAGACTGTAGTTTTCGTTCCTCTCTCTTTCTAGCTAGCTGTTCTTCTTCTTCATCTGGTCTACTAGAAAAATAAAGAGAGACAGTAAACATAAGAGGAGGAAAACAATTTCACTGCTGGGCAATCACCATTTAGTCATTCAACTTATTTTTAAAAAGGATATATAGTCTGACTTGAGATACTTCTCCACAGTCATGTAAAATTTCATTGCTGAATTAGTGTAACTGACAAATTTGTAGAATTATCCTTTTATATTACCCAAATACTTCACTCACTGTAGTAACGTGCCCTTCAGACTTCATAGTACGATTTAAAGGCTCCTAGGAACAGGTGGCAGACTGTTCCAGAATACTGTTCCTGCTTGTCATTTTCCCTATGTCTCATACCCCATTTTAGAGTAAGTATACTGAACATGCACCGTTACATCCATTGTTGCCCCCTGGAAGAAGATTAATGGTTCATAAGCCTTTGATGCCAGAACAATTTATCTTTCCAACAACCATCACTATCCAATCTCAAGCTGCCCCCAGGAAAGAGGTCTACATTAACTGCTATGGCAGCTGCCTTCCTTGTTCTGGAATGTGCAAAGATTTACCTGAGTGCATCAGTTGTGCGATTCTGGGAAATGCTGAGCCTACACGGTACATCTGAGCTGTGCATGTGCAGATATTCTCTAAGAATGCAGGCACTTAAGCTTCGTGATCTGCTTTGGAGAAGGCTCAGCTTCACTTAACTGTTAGATAAACCATGTAAGAATTGCAGAACTCTAAAGCAAATGCTAAACAATATTTATTAATTTCTTATTTTTTCTGACAGAATTCATGACAATTTTTCAGGATTCATGTAGCCTGAAACCTAGACACCTGCCATACTTCCCCAGGTGCTAATCATTTTTCAAAACTGAATGCACTATCTGAAGATGTTTGGTATGAATGTGTGCAATACTAACACACCTGTTAAAAGAGAAATTAACAGTTGTAGTACCATACATCTGCAGCAACCAACATACAAGTTAAGCAAGAGTGACATCCAGTGGTTAATTATAGCACATCCAATGTTTTAATAGAAAAATTGAGATTTCCAGTTCTGGTGCCTGTGAACTCAGTTTTTCTATATGCTAAATCAGGCCACATGTCTCTTCAAATATCTTTGTAACTCGTATACAATCCAGTAATTCAGAATCCACGTAACATTTCACATACAAATTTTCTAGTTCCTCCTTTTTTGTTTCCACATAAAGAATCAGAAAATTCTTAGGGTAGTTTAGCAGCAGGAAACAGATGCAACAGGTCACCTTTACAGGAAAACAATGTTAAACCCTCTTGTAAAACTAATAAATTCTTGGCATTAGCACATCCAGGTGGATTAGCACCTCCCATTCTTGGGCACTCTACTCAAATTACTTTATTGGAGATTTCAGTGTCTTACAACTATGTAGTAATCTCACTTAACATTGGTGTTACAAAATACAAACCCATCAAATAAATGCTAGTGTAGGATTCAGAAAATACATTTCTTCCCTATAATTAAAAAGGCATCAAATATATTTTAACTTCTAGAAAGAACTGAGTTTTTCTTCAAAATTCAGAAAGTCTGAAATTACAAAAATAAAAAAGTGGTTGTTAAACTGAAGTAGTTCAGGAGAACCTATCTCTCAAGTGTATGGAACCAGATGCTTATAGTCCAAACATTAAATAAAAATAAGAAACTGAAACAATGCACCAAAAGTCCTAGGATTCCTGTGGTATGGATGGACTCAGGTGTATCAGCTATGTACTGATGTAGGGGCTCATGCAACATGCAAGTCTTCTCTGCATCCAAGGAAAACATAAGTGCTGGCTTCTTAATCACTGAAATCTCACAGCTTAAAACTCCCAGAAGGAATACTGACACTCCTGCAAAACAAGGTTACATGACATCTGAGATGATACATCTAAGAGGTCAGTAAAGCAGATGTAATACTACATTTCTACTAATTCTTCTTCTTCCAATTCATTAAAAAAAGTTTATTTTGTGGAAAAGGAGT